TAATGGCAATACACTAAAGTCTTCCTGATTTAGTTGTTGCTGGAGTCTAACAAGGTTAGATAGCCATACAGATCAGTTGTGTGAAAATGATGGGAGATATTCACATTGCATTAAGTCTTATGAAGAGGACTAATATTAGGAAACCACATATATTACCGTACAGTGTGAAAGTGAAGAAGTTGACAGCTATGTACTGTACCACTAAATTTTGCCTCATTATTGGTCTTAGTAGTTGGACACATGATACCTTGCTGCCCTCCAACTGTTAAACAACAGTCCAATGTATTAGTATCTAGAAAGTAAGGTATATAATGATGAAATGTTTGAAATTGAAATGATTTTTTTCTTTGCGTTTTTATTTTGTGCACTGTTTACTTGCAGGGACTAACTGGACCATGCTAACCAGACAAACCTTGACCCCCTCGGCTGTTATTTGAGCATAAACCGCGCTTCTCTGTCAAATAAGTAACATCTCATCCTGCTGGTGACTGTTACCATGTTTATGACATATTGATTTGATTTTGTGGAAAGCTGCACTGCGGTAAACAAAGAGCTCCTGCATTAGATGTGGCAGGAACTCTGCTTGGTTTTGTTGTTCTCTGCCTCTTCAGATGTCTGTTGTATAACTCTATATGTATACAGCTGCACTCAAGCATCAGTGAAGGAGTATCTTAATGCATATCAATAGTATGTGGCATAAAACAACTCAAAATGTTGTTTCATATGATGGTTAGCTGCTTCTAGTGTTTGGAAATGTTATCTTTAAAAGTAGTTATATTATAGCACTTTTTTCTAATAAAAGTAACTAATTATGTTACATTTTATGAAACTTTACAAGTTTTTATTGTTAACTTAACTATTAAAATTTGTTTTCATTCATTGAAATGAAGGTGAAATAAGATACACCGTAATCTACAGTATATATAAATATTTAAAAACTTAAATGTAAATTAGAAATGTTGCAAATAACATAAGTTTTAGTTGAAAATTACTGAAAAATAAACTGAAATAAAAAACTCAATAAAATTATATATAAAAAACAAACACTAATAAATATAACATAATAACAAAATCACTAAAACTACAATTAAAATAAAAACTGAAAATATATATAAAAAATTAATACATGCCACAGTAGTGTACAAATAATACTAAACACTGGTTTTGCATTTCTTTTCCATTAAAACAGTTGTAAATATATTTTTATAATATAGTTAACATGTTAGCTCCATTGTAAGACTACATTTTTACTTTGTCAGATTACTATTTTTATGATTTCTTGTTCTAATAAAATATGCTTGAAATTTTGCCATGTAATTATTAATTTTAGTTTGTTTAGTTAGTTTTAACTAAATTAAAATGGAAAACTAACTAAAACTAAAATGACATCTAATTTTAATTACCGAAAACAGCATTTTAATTGACAAGAAAGTGGAAAATGACACCAAATATTTCAACATTTCTACATTTTAGATTTTCCTAGAAAGAATACCACTCCACACATTACTTCCAAAAAGTCATTTGTTAACATTACAAGTAGCGTGTTACAATGGCCCTCAACACTCTTTTTTTCAGTTTCTTTTATAAAAACATAACTTTACTAAAGACAAGCGGGTACTAGAGTGTTCTAGTAGATCAGACGATAGTGGGACCAGTGAGAGTCCCTCGTTCCATGTTTCTGCTCTCTTCCCGGGATTTGAGTTATTCATAAGCTGTGAAGTCATCGGGAGCGAGGCTGTCTGCAGTGCTCCATTACTGCCAGCTCCCACCGTGCAGCAGCTTCACCTCATGTTGTTTAGTTCGGCCGTCTCTGACGAGACTCTGATCTAATAGACCTGAGTGATCTGCCAGTGGCAGCAGGAGGGAGACGCATAGCGGCAAAGACATTAGCTGTTTACAGGGATCGTCTGTTATCTTTCACACAATATCTCCTGCCTTCGCCTTTCCTCCCCGTCTCACCTCCTCCCACTCAAGTGAGAGATCTTGCAGACCCATAGAGCATGAAGAGAATTGCTTGCAGTTGGGTCAACGCACAAGTCTGTGTATCTGTGCGAGATCATAGTATCTTTTCATCTTATCTTTCATACTGTGCTGCTTGATATTAATTTTATAACTTTACAACAGAACTTTGAGACCTCTGAATTGTAGCAATTTCATTTGTAAGTGAGCAATACTGAGGAATAATAAGCTTTTTAGTTAAATGAGATGTCTGCACTCAACAGAAATTCCAAACATCTATTAAACAGAGCTATATATGACTTTTCAAAGAAATTAATAATTGGGAAGTCTTTATACAATTTACATTTCAAATAAAAATATGAACAGAAATGAGAAAAAACTAACAAATTTGCATATAAATTTGCATAACAAATTTGAAATAATGCATTTTCATAAACCACCCAGGAAATAGGTTAATTTTGAGAATATCTGAATGTATTGAAACATTTTCGAACATTTTGTTGTAGTATTTGTAAAATTAATAGTATTATGGTAAAAGCTCACTGTCACTATTAGTTAAGCCACTGGCACCACTTACCCTGACCCACATCATTTTGGGAAAAATGGTTCATTTAGTAATTCATGACTGATTTTTAGCCAAATAATTTACATGGGTTTATACATGGGTGATTCGCCTTATTTTTAGACTTGAATAATTTTTTATTTTTATCTGCAGTGGGGAAAATGTACTTTGCCATGCGAAAAACAACATAAAAACGATTAACACGTTTCTTATGTGCATCTCTCAGTTATAGGCATGAATGGGTCCTTGGTTATATGACACAAATTATACACAGTTTGCTAGATTAAAAGGGCAACGGTATGTGGTGAACCTTATGCTAGTATACACTAACATACGACAGCACACAGTATTGTGGCCAGATTAAGTATAATGCATTGTGACACAAATTGTGCTGGATAAAACAGGCTCACCAGCAGGATTCTATGAATTTATGAATAAAAGAGAAGAAACACCATGAATATTTTGCAAATTCTCTTTGAAATTCATACTCTCAGTTATCTATGGGAAACTACAACCTTCACTATATGGTTTTCTCATTACAGCGAACTTCCACATCAGATTAGATGTAGGTTTATGCACCAGTGCAATGAACTGTATTGTTTTCCAGAACTTTGAGAAGACAAATAAATGTAGGGAAATATATGATGGCTTTTGATAAATCAGTCAAAAACTTCTAATTAAGAAAATTTTATGGTTAAGGCTTTTTGCAACCCATTTTACTTATGTAATATTATGGGTTTCTGAATGAAACAGAATATCAAACAGGACAAATGTAAGTCAGGAACTGATTGATTTTTAATTATATTGTCAATATCAAAGTCAAAAAACAGACAAATGTTACTAACAATTCCAGGTTTACTGAAAAATGACGCATGGTTCAGTCAGTCAGTCGTGAACTCAATAACGGTTCTGAATGATTCATCTTAGTGAGTCTGATTCAAACCATTAACTTGTGAGTATAAGAGAGAGAGAGAGAGAGAGAGATGCAGAGCGTGTGCAGAGCAGGGAACGCGAGGAACAGTATTGAGAACCGCTGCTTTAGAACATTGATTTTGAAACTTGTGAATCCATTAGAATCGTTAGAAGACAGAATCGCGATTCATATATGAATAGATTTTTACGTGCACCCCTAGTTTATATACTATATAAATATATATATAGAGATATAGAGAAGAGGAAGTTTATATAAAACAGACAAATGTTACTAACAATTCCAGGTTTACTGAAAAATGACGCATGGTTCAGTCAGTCAGTCGTGAACTCAATAACGGTTCTGAATGATTCATCTTAGTGAGTCTGATTCAAACCATTAACTTGTGAGTATAACTAACTGACTTATTAGAAAGAACAGGTTTATAAGGAATTGCAAATCGGACATTGTTCTTATATGCAGGAAACACTGGTGTAAACTAATGAGTTAAATGAACAAACCGTACATGGACATGCGCGATTAAACTGCCAGAATTTTAAAAGACGATATCTCCGTTTGCATTGAACTTCGTAACTTTGCAGATATTGTTTATGCTCAAACAGCAACATTAGACACTAATGTTAAAAAGGTGAAATCGCAATGAACCACCCCTTTAAGAAAGTAAATACACTCTTAAAAATAAAGGTTCCACTGATGGTTCCATGAAGAACCTTTAACATCCACAACATTTCCATTGCATAAAAGGTTCTTTATAGTGGGAAATGGTTCTTGAGATTGTTGATTTTTTTTTTTATGTATGAACAGATTACAGTAGAAAAAAACCTTGATGGGGGGAAAAAAACTAACAAACAGGCATCTCCTCAAACTCTTCTCCTAGCCTGTAAATAACCTGCTCTAACTCTCAAACCCATGTCAGAGCAGTGCCTGCAATGAATCTATCAACCAAAAGTATCATGCATGGCTTTGGCATCTAATCGATGCTAGTCTCTGCCCTTCCATAGGTCAGTGTCAAAGCATTGAGACGTCTCTGCCAGAGCTGCAGAGTCTGATTCAGTATGACTCAGGCCATCTTCCAATCTCATTCCCCATTAAGAAGGCATACACTTTGGACTTCAGACTTTTCCCATAGTGAATACTAACGAATATGTTTCTGAATATCTTTGGACACACACTTCTGTTCATTCACAATAACCTTTGATGTCAAGATGATGTTTGTCAGGCTGCTGGGAGACCATCTGGAGCTGCTGCAAGCAGTGGCACATAAACATTAGCAGTCAACCACAGGAGTCAACCTCCCTCTGTCCACCCGCCCTTTCTCTAAACTAAACACAAGCAAGGACACCACTTCACTGAGCCATATGCTCCTTTGTTTCAGCACATTAGAGTGGACTGAGGCTTTCAGTATAACTTCTCGTTGGTTGCGTTTTGAATGTAAGCAGCTCACTGAAAATTCCTGAACCCAGAAGTTCACTTTCATGGTACTTGGGTTGTAAAAATGTATAAGATTGAAATGTCATCCTAACGATCCCTCTCTTTCTTTTCCCTCAGGTGCAAAGGTCATATTCTCCCAAGTACAGACCATAAGAAAGGTAAGCCTATTCATCTGAACGATCACAGGGTTTTACACAAGTGCCTGCTTCACATCGTGTGCTACGGCCGCTGGAATTATTGTGCATTGGCACCACTTGGTGGCTGCCATTGGAGAGACAAGACTTTAAAACCCCAACCTTCCCTTCTATTTATAGAACCAATAAAATAGTTCTTTCCTGTGTTGACATTTTTTTTAAACATGGCCTGCACTTTACATCTTTTAGCCCTGTGGACTTTTAGAAACTAAACTCTTAAAATACACTTTTCACAGTCTCACTAGTTTATTTAATTAACAATGATTTGCCTTTTGTAAAGGCACAATATGTACGTTTTTGCCACTAATTTTAGTCGCATTTTCAAAACGATAACAAAGGCGAAGATTGATGACGCTATGAAGGAGAGGGAAACGATGGGAGATGTCGTTTTCACCATCCAGAGATGTCCGAATCATGTTCATGGATGTAATGAATTAATTGTTTTATTACCTGTACCTTCCAAAGTTATTCAAATAGCCCTGTGGACTTTTAGAAACTAAACTCTTAAAATACACTTTTCACAGTCTCACTAGTTTATTTAATTAACAATGATTTGCCTTTTGTAAAGGCACAATATGTACGTTTTTGCCACTAAATTTAGTCGCATTTTCAAAACAATAACAAAGGCGAAGATTGATGACGCTATGAAGCAGAGGGAAACGATGGAAGATGTCGTTTTCACCATCCAGAGATGTCCGAATCATGTTCATGGATGTAATTAATTAATTGTTTTATTACCTGTACCTTCCAAAGTTATTCAAACAGCGAATAAATTATACAGAGAAAGCGAGCAAAGAATATTTACATTGTCAAGGAACAGTATGACTGACTTCAGTCTAGCACGAGTTTAAGCACTCTCAAAAAACTCCCCTTATAATCAGTAAAGCTGATGAATGAATCTCCTACTTACATTATACGTACATCAGCAGTTTGTTGTTTATGATGAGGGAATTCGCGAGAGAGCAGAATTCAGTCAACGAGCACGCACAATGAACAAAACAACTGGTGTTTCAGCGATGACTCATCTGAACGCCTCTGATTGGCCATTGCATTCATTAGCTCAACAGACTCGTGTGTGATTGGTTGTAATGCGCAAAACTGTAAAAACGCGTAAAAAGAATCATGGTGCAACATTGAGCAGATCTAAATTTAATGCTGCAGTCAACACTTTTTTCATTTTATTCGCGACAGCTGTAAAGGATTTAGTTTAACTGTACAACAGCATTTTTGTCCACGCGTGTTGCCATAGTTTCTACAAGCAGAAACCGATAGCGTGGATATTACGCCATTGATAGGCGACAATGAACAGGGACAAGCCATTATTTAAAATGTGAATTTCTCTGGATTTACAAATCCTTGGGAACTTTTGGGATAACGTAAGTACACAACTGCATGAAATATATAACACTGAGCAAGTGGTTTTTGGATATTTTATTATGAAAATCTTACATATTGTGCCTTTAATTTGTCTGCTAAAAATATCCAGTTGAGAATTTTGAATGAAAGTTAAACAAATTCCCTCCACACATCATATTGTGTATTTGACAAAACATTGTGTGGAAATGAAATTTTTTACTTTGGAATAAAATGGTAATTTCATCAGTTGGTATCCTAAATACACACAAGTAAATAATATTTTCACACTTTTTTGCAAACAACTGTGGGTCGGCTGAAATTTTTATTTAAAGTGATATGATACGTACTAAATACTTTTAAAATAATGTCTGGGTCTGGTACAAAGGCAAAACAAAAAAACTATTTTGAAAAGTAGCAAATAAATAAACAAATAAATAATCCAAATCGGTTTAAATAGGAAATTCATATAACAAAAGTAAAAAAGTTAGTCTTAATAAAAATCAACCTGTTACATAAATACCCTTGTGAAAAAGAAGCAAACTTTAGCATTTTAAAAAGAGTACTTACTATGGGAGTAATTAATACTTTAAAATAATATAACTAATTGTGAACTTAATGTAATGTTTTTGAACGCTTAATTGTGTTAATTGAAATCGAAAGATAATGTACTATAGTTTAAATATATATTAAATGCAATTAGATCAACTCAAGAGTTCTTTAAAAAATTTATTTTTTACTAAAATATACTTTAATGTAATTTCTATTGATACTTGTCATGTATTTACACATTTGCAATGAAGTTGAATTAAAAAATTATAATCAAGTACTTTGCATGTGCTTTAATATGTTTTAACATCATAATTAGTGTACTCCTTTAAAGCATGAAAATGATTATTAAATCAATGATTTAAAATGTTTTTTAAAGTAAAGGTTATTACAAAGTGTACTTTTAAAAAATGCACTCAAGTGTGTTAAGAAACATAGTGATGAAAATGTACGCTCTAAATAAACTTGTGGCCTTTTGTTAAATTTTAAATTAATATATATATATATATATATTTTATTTTTTTTTTACTTTTAGGATTTGAAGTACACTGCAAATGCACTTTCAGTGCAATTATGCGCACTGCTTTTTCACAAGGCTGTGCCTAAATTTGAAAAAACACTATTATTGATGCTGACTACTCTTATTCTCTAAATTGCAGCAACCATGTCCTTATTGTCCTGACAATGACAAACAGTCTGATCCAGCAGAAGACAACTTTCCTAGACCTGCGCAACCAGTGCAGCTTCCAGTCTTCCCATGGGTCCAGCATTCTTCTCTAATCAACCCCAGAGACATCACTGCTGCCCATGTCACAAAGAGCCACCGTAAACTCCTCCTCAAGAGTGGCCCGCTTGTCCAGCAGCTTAATGCTGACCCTCCTGGCCAGATCAAAGAGAACCCAGAGCAAATGACTCAGGTGCAGCAGTCCCGTCAGAGACTTATGAGGGAGGTCTGTGCCAAATACACAAGCGGAACCACCAAACAGACTATAACCCGCATGCATGTGTCCCGTATCTTTGTGGAGGACAAGCACAAACTCCTCTACTGTGAGGTGCCCAAGGCGGGCTGCTCCAACTGGAAGAGGGTGCTCATGGTGCTTCAAGGTCTCGCTTCTTCCACTGGAGAGATCCAACATGACGAGGTGCATTATGGGAATCACCTTAAGCGTCTAGACTCATTTGATCAAAAGGACATCATTCATCGTCTGAAGACCTACACCAAAGTCCTCTTCCTGAGGGAACCTTTCGAAAGGCTAGTGTCTGCTTTTCGGGACAAGTTTGAGAGTCCAAACTCATACTACCACCCAGTGTTTGGGAAGCCCATCATCTCAAAATACCGCAGCAATGCAACACAGTACGCTTTACGCACGGGAGCGGGTGTGACCTTCAAGGAATTCATCCAGTATTTGTTAGATGTGCATCGGCCGGTTGGCATGGACATCCACTGGGAGCCTGTAGGACATCTTTGCAGCCCTTGCCTGCTGGACTATGATTTCATTGGGAAATTTGAGACTCTGGAGGAAGAAGCCAATTTCCTTTTGAGAAGCATCGGTGCTCCTAGCAATTTAACATTCCCTAGTTTTAAAGACAGGAACCCTAATGCAGAAAGGACATCTTTGGAAATTACAAAAAGATATTTTGCACAACTAAATGTGACAGAGAGACAAAGGGCGTATGACTTTTACTACATGGACTATCTGATGTTCAACTACTCCAAACCGTTTAAAGATTTACACTGAAGCTTTTACAGTAATCTCATGAACTTTCTGTTGCCTGGTGTTCACATTTTGTCCTAGTGAGGTTATTTTATTACTTTAAAATGTTTTCGTTTATTTGTTAACGAATTTCAATGTGAAATATTAATCACACTCTATATTTATCTCTGCAGGCTGGTCCTTGCGTTTATCTTGTTATAAACTTGTTACAAAACTTATTCAATTCTATTCAATAAGAAACCCCTTAATGGAACAATCTGCCCAAAAATGAAAAATTGGACATGATTTACTCACTCTTCATGTCGTTCCAAACCTGCGTGAACCCTGAACAAATAACAAAATATTTTGAAGAATGTTGCAGCTGTTTTTGTAAATGCAATGAAAGTCAATAGGGTCCAAAACAACGGTGGACAAAAACAAAAGACATTTTTCAGAATATCTTCTTTTGTGTTCCACAGGTTTGGAATGACATGAAGGTGAGTAAATGGTGTCAGACGTTTTTGGGTGAACTGTCCCTTTGTTGTGTGTGATTTGTTTTCTCAGACTGCCAAGAATGAATAGCCTGTACTAAGAGCATCTAAAATGTAGCATAATGTTATTTATTAGTGTCAAAGGAAAGTGATTTTAGCACAAGTCCAGCTGTGAGTATCACTTTACTCAATATACCATTGTAGGGTTGCCAACCGGGACGTCCCGTATTTTGGGCCTAATTGATTTGTCCCGTACGTGACTTCCCTTGTCCCGTTTTTTGACTGCTACGCTGATCTAACCACTGACTGATACAACAGCAGCGGTGCTGATCACTTGAGAATGATCACCGATACCTGTCATCATCCAATCACAGCCCCCCTCACGCGGTTATACGTTAAGTAAATCAGAAATCATGAACATAACTGTTCGAGGAAGGCTGCACAATCCTCTGCCGGCTGGTCGCTCCCGCCTCACAGCAAGCGGCGCTCGCACTAACCAATTCTGTCCGTGTTTTCACTTCAGTACAAACTGAATACAAACTACGTGATTATTTTTCACGAGTCCAACATCCCGCCGCGCATGAGACGTGATCAGTAAGGGAAGTCGTCTTTCACTATTGTAATGTTGTTAAATAGAGAAAAACTTTTTATATTTAAGTAACTAATAGCATAATTATTAACCTTGGACCTTATTCTTGAAACACAAAATTACCAATAAAAAGGTGTCAAGCACCAAAAGCAGCCCATATTAAATCTATAAGCTGTCTTTAATTGAAAAATACGCATTTTCATGCATACATGGGACAATCCGTATGGTGATTGTCCCGTATTTTCATTTTCTGAAGTTGGCAACCCTGTACCATTGCGAAACATTTTCAATGACCTGCTACACCCTTGCCTTACTTTCAAATTTCTCATATTACAACGTTTTCTGTATATCAATAAATGTAAGCACAATATTTTAATGTTAGTTAGATGACATCTCTGTGTTATTACCTTCTTTATTGTTATAATGACAAATCAAAATTCCAGTAATTTCTAGGTCTCGGTCACTAGTAGACATGTACAGGAAACTCATAACAACCTCTTTCGCCCTTTGTTTGAAGGTTAGTTCCATATTTTTTGTTTGTTATCCAACTTATTTTTCAGGTAAGCTACTTCCTGTGAATGTGCAATTCTTTAGATTCATTAGCCGCTATTGATAAGTAACCAGAAGAATGACAAAGTGCAGTAAACGGTAAAACTCTTTACGTGACAAACCAGTGTGTTCATGATTATTATAGTAAATTAAAAATAATATGATAACAAATACAAACTTTCAAAATCAAGTAGCATAACGGACTGTTTTTGTACAGTTAAATAGCTGGAAGTGGATGATACTGGAAGCCTCGCCCATTCAAGATAAAAATTTATTTTTATTTTTATTAAAAATAAAAGTAGAAGTGATGCAACCTATTACTACAGGATGCACAGGAATAGTTACTTCTGAAAATGACCTCAGAGGATTTTTTTCCTGTCGGAGGCATCAAGATAATATGCAGTTACATACAGATTTTAAAATGATTTCAATCATGTATATATATTATTTTTCTGCCACTTTATCCCAGTATTGGAAACAAAAGCAGCAACCCCCCCTCATGCAGCAGTTGATCTTTACATCTTGTCCTCCCACTCCAATAAGTCCTCTGCTGCCTGGAGCAACTGCGTTTTTTTTAGCTCCACCCCCTCCTTATCTCACAGGGCCTGGGGCTTTGACATCCTGTTCTCTCTCACAATCGACAGACTCAAAGGGCACATCAAATCAGCTACTATTTGTCACGTGGAAGACAGAACAAAAAAAATCCTAATTTTTCTTTCTTCAGCACCAAAATCATATTTAAAAAGGAGGGGGTAAGAGAAAAATTAGTCTCTCCGTATGATTGGGTTTTGGAATGGAAGGAGCTGGAGGCAAGAGAATAAGCTCTGAACTTTTAGAAATTAAGTTATTACAAAAAGACTCTGGAAAATCTAATTACCAAAAGAAGTGTAGACAAAATGCAACAGCATCAAAAATGTTTAAAATTGTTTCAGGTGAGAAGATGAGATGTTTGACGTTGCAAGTCATGTCCAGCAGATGGCGCTGTGGTTTAATGAGGGACAGAGGCATCATCGGAAAATAACTTTCAAAAGGGAATAGGCTATGTAGATTTATTTATGCATTCATGAATGTTGCACAGGTATTACATCTGTCTCTCTTGGCAAAACAGTGGCTCATGCCTCCAAATGTGTAATAATTCATCGTACTAGAAATACATACACTTAAAAAATAAGCGGTTACATAATTTTAATAATATTATTTAAATTTTAACACTATAATTTAAATACTATTAGTGGTTATGAATTAACAATGTTAATATTAATGTTAATAAAGTCCTATGGATCACTGATACGAAATTAGTTCATGTGAATTGTGAAAGTTTTAGCTGCTATTGATTACCTGGACGCTTTTGTTTTTCTGTCTTCAGGATGTTTTATTTGACTCGCTTGAATATAAACACAACTGTAAGACCAGGGATAGTAAGTGTTACTCAGATATATAGTTTGTTGGCATGATGCACATCATTGGGATAACCATTACTCCCCTCATCTCTCTGTAAATTAAGGAAATGAAGTGCAGGCGCTCGAGGCAACATTCTAAGCTATTTAAATCTTTAAATTTACATCTTCCTCCAGCGTCAAGTAATTGAACTAACTCCGGGCTTGTTCCTTTAATTGGACAAAAATATCTTGTCTTCCTGCTGCTCGTCTGATGTGGGAAACTAATTTCAGCCAAAGGCGAGAAAAATTCGGTTGTTAAATCCAAATAATTTGCAACATATTCGTGTATACAAACAGATTTGCTTTGCAGTGTTTTCACTCGAGAATGTGGGCTATTATGTGGAAGGTGATAACATTAGCTCTGTGCCAAAAGATTACTGAAGGTAATTGGAAAAGACATTTTAAAATTCAAATTTGTGACAAGAAAATTAAGGGTTCTATCATTTTTCCCCTTTGCACAACTAAAAACTGAAATGAAATATATTGCTAGTTAGTTAATTATTTATTTATGGAAATCTTAATTCATAATTTGTACTCTGTTCGTAGGTTGTTTGACTTCCCAGGAAATACAACTGCGTTTAAACGCGTTTTTAGGTCATGAATCATTTTTTAACCTTTCGTTTAAATGTACAAATGCCCAACGCGTCGTCAACGTTTGGTATGTTTTGTTTTTGTCGTAAACATGGGTTATATTGACGTCTGACGTTATACTGACGTTTGAAGTCACTTACCCTTATCTTTTCAGACCGTTACTAATAGGCCTACGTTTTATTTCAGATAGGCCTACTTTATTTGTATCCTGTTTTAGGTGGCGTTTTCATGCTATGTCACCTAATTGCAACTAAAAGGAAACGTTTTGGAAATGTTGTAAAAACGTTCTTTTTTTTTTTTTATTGGCTGCGTTTAGTTTGGTCACTGGTTGGCGCCAGATGTCAAGGTACAGAACATTTTAACGAGAATGGGAACAATATTACAGTGGTCTTAAAACAGTCAAGTATACTTTTTGTAACAATGTTTTCAGCACAATGAGCCTGTCTTCCACCTGAAAGCTGTGTGCCATGGCAGACATCTCTATCTAGCCGCGCGCAAAAAATTGAAATGGCGCGTTTGGCTCGAGGCGGTTGTGTGGGCGCCTTTTGCAGAGGCACAAAGCATATCGATGTACGTCATTTAGTTTTCATGGCCAGCAGAACATTATAAGAACGCTGTGAGAAACATATTAAACCAAATTAAGAAGATACATTCTTTTATGCCCGTAAGTATCTCTGGAAAAGAAATGTAAATCAAAAAGACGGGGGGGAAATCATAACGTATGTAATGCCGTTTAAAACAAAAGATTGTTTCTCTTTTGCTCGATGAAGGTTAATCAGACATGCACACAGGTAACTTAACCTAGTAAACCGTTATCCCCGCGCATGCACATATTGTTCAGACGCGGCAAGTAGATGAATAAATGACGATAAATGCGATTAAAACACATATACGTATACTTCAAAATGTGAATAGCAAGATCAAATGTTGTTCTTGTAACTCGCCCCAGCTCAGGCAGGGTTGAGCTAATTGTAGCCTAATCCTGCCCCGGGGCGTTTGGAGAGCCTTGAGCAAGAATTCTTGTTCAGCTGTCCTCTGTTATTCGGGCTGGAACGCTGTGCCTTCAACGCACTCTCACGCTTCAACAAAAAAAGGAGCAAGAAAGAAAAAAAGCGAGGCTAAGACACGCCACGATCGATCTCATGTTTTAAAGAGGGCTGAAGATACATTTACTGCTATGTCTTCCAAGGTAAGGACGCAGCCTTGACTGACTCCCCTGTGTAGCTTTTGTGGAAAGTGTCAATAGCAGTCTATGGTCTGTGTTTTAAGCGAGTTTTTAAAGCCACAGCGACCTATATAGCGCTGCGTTTGCACCGGCGTTAGATTTCGCTGGATTCTGAAGGGAATTGTCGCCGGATTCTATTCGAAGAGCTCTTGGAGTGGCGA